CCTTCCTTAGCTTCAGCACATGCGTTACGTAACAAATCACTCATTCCTTTTTGAGCCTTAGAAATATAGGAAACAATGTACATTGCACAGGCATATACATCCAGTGCAAATTGAATGTCCATGTTAGCTCCCCATGCTTGAAGGCAAGCAGGATTATAATTATTAATCCTTAATTCATTGGGACTTCTTTTTAAAATATTGTTGGACAATTTAGTGATGATCGAATTGCAAGAATATATTGATATTCTGAAACATCTAGTTCTTTCAGAAGTTGATCAAATGTTACGTCTTCTCCCTCTTTTAAATCATTTAGTTTATTCTTAATATTTTTCCACAACTCTTTTCTGGCTCTTATGACAGTTTCAGAAGCATTGTCATCAAGTGGATGAAGTATCTGTGTTGATCTCATGGGTGGCTGAGGATAATTAAATCTACAAACTTTTTTGGAGTTTTTTCGACATGTGTGAGAATGTCTATGAGTTTGTCTGTTTACAAGATCAAATAATTCAGTGTCATTATCAGGCTTTCTACAAGTTATTATTTGGTCAATGAAATTCAAGCCATATGAGCATATGGATGTGAGGCGAGCCTCTCTGTTGGTATTCAACCCTGTAAAACCAATCTTTCAGTTTCCCTAATGGGGCAATTTCACTCATTAAAAAATCTTTTAAGAAAGTATTAAATTGGTAATCAAAATGCCTTGCACAAGTTACTGGGTCACTTTGAATTAGTCTACACTTTTCATCCCAATTTAAATTATCTAATTGTTCATCACTATAGTCTTTGTGATCAACAAGCTTGCCAAGGATTCTTAGTAAATGATTCCATTTTGTTTCAGCAGATGAAAAACTACAAAATAATGATGCAGGTCCTAACTGCCGAATCATAGCAAACAAATCTTTTTTGGCTTTTTCAAAGTAAGGTGGGGAACCTCTCAAAGCTCTTAAAAATTTGTATCCCTCATCATGGCAAATGAGATTTGTTAAACCTTCCGGTGTTTTTAACTCACCAGCAGTAAGTGTTCTGTTTCCCATTTTACACTTGCGAATAGCAAGCTGAGATTGCCCCAGCAATAATTTCATCTGCATTTTTTTAGTTTTAAAAAATATGTTCTCAATACACATTGCAGCTCTTCGATCAGACCGTCTTAGTTCAGATTTGCATATTTCACTGTAGTAAACACGAGTCAATCTTTGCTTCTCATCTGGCCGCTTTTGACCTAAGAATATTCCTGGATAAGCTAGTTCCTCTGAATATTGATCTCTAAATATACTGAGTGGTCTACTACCTTCACCAGGTGCAACATTGTATATATGTTGTCTTTCAGTATCGTCTACAAAATCAGTAGGTGTAAGCATACTGTCTGTTACACCTGCAGGAATTTCTGCTTCATCTTCACTCCATTCATCTTTTGAAGATGCCGAATTAGTTTGATCAACTGTAGTATTTTCATTGTCACTATTATTAGGTGTTGTAACATCAAAGTATGATAACCAATGCTGATCAAAAGTTATTCCTTGTTCTCGATATAATTCACTAGTATTTACCAACCAAGCTGCAGCTTGCATCACTTTATTAGGTCTCACATTCAAAGACAAGGCAGAACTCTTATATTGCAGTCGACGTTTTAATTGAACTTTAATAGTCCCAGTGTCTTGTGGTAACCTGGGTAGCATGTTAACGGTATTACATATGTCTGCTGGTACATTCACAACATTACCAGCAATTTTAAGTTGCCGACCTCTCGGAGCTTGCATTATTTTTTGAAATGCCAATCTTGGAGCTATAAGCCTGCATTCTAATTCATTTAAATCAAAGAAGTCAGGTTTTTCTGGAAACTTCAAGCCATTTGAAACTGCAGATGGTGGCACTTTATCCTTTTTAAGATGTTTGTCACATGTCAAACACAGCCATTCAATATTATCCACACTTTTAATGCCTTGTAGATGTTTAGTAGAATTTGGATTGCGCAATCGAAGCCTCCCCGCCGGACAAACACTGTGCTTATACCATAATTGATCACAGCATGAACATATATACAGAGGACCTGTTGATACAGATTTATGGAATTTATGTATCAATTGTGATACACTATTATGTGATATTATACTGTTATCATTATTGAGATGCCCTTGAGAACCTGATGGAGGACATTGTTTGTTTTTTCCAGAAAGTCTACTTTTATTTTCCTTATAATTAGCTCTTACTTTTGCTAATCGTTGCTCTTTTTGTTTAACAGTTTCATTTTGCCTTTGCAACCTTCTTGCTTCTCGCTGGTTTTGAAGCCTATTTTCCCTCTCTGAAACAGTTTCTTGTTGTTTTACCTGTTTTCTTTTCTGTCTTCGCTTTGCAAGTCTATTCTCTCTCTCTCTGCAACAGTTTCTTGTTGTTTTGCCTGTTTTCTTTTCTCTCCTTGCTTTGCAAGTCTATTTTCCCTCTGTGAAATAGTTTCTTGTCTTCTTTTCTCCCTTTGCTTTGCAAGTCTATTCTCTCTCTCTGTAACAGTTTCTGGTTGTTTTGCCTGTTTTATTCTCTCTCTTTGCTTTGCAAGTCTATTCTCTCTCTCTGTAACAGTTTCTTGTTGTTTTGCCTGTTTTCTTTTCTCTCCTTGCTTTGCGAGTCTATTTTCCCTCTGTGAAACAGTTTCTTGTTTTCTTTCCTCTCTTTGCTTTGCAAGTCTATTCTCTCTCTCTGTAACAGTTTCTGGTTGTTTTGCCTGTTTTATTCTCTCTCTTTGCTTTGCAAGTCTATTCTCTCTCTCTGTAACAGTTTCTTGTTGTTTTGCCTGTTTTCTTTTCTCTCCTTGCTTTGCGAGTCTATTTTCCCTCTGTGAAACAGTTTCTTGTTTTCTTTCCTCTCTTTGCTTTGCAAGTCTATTCTCTCTCTCTGTAACAGTTTCTGGTTGTTTTGCCTGTTTTATTCTCTCTCTTTGCTTTGCAAGTCTATTCTCTCTCTCTGTAACAGTTTCTTGTTGTTTTGCCTGTTTTCTTTTCTCTCCTTGCTTTGCGAGTCTATTTTCCCTCTGTGAAACAGTTTCTTGTTTTCTTTCCTCTCTTTGCTTTGCAAGTCTATTCTCTCTCTCTGTAACAGTTTCTGGTTGTTTTGCCTGTTTTATTCTCTCTCTTTGCTTTGCAAGTCTATTCTCTCTCTCTGTAACAGTTTCTTGTTGTTTTGCCTGTTTTCTTTTCTCTCCTTGCTTTGCGAGTCTATTTTCCCTCTGTGAAACAGTTTCTTGTTTTCTTTCCTCTCTTTGCTTTGCAAGTCTATTCTCTCTCTCTGTAACAGTTTCTGGTTGTTTTGCCTGTTTTATTCTCTCTCTTTGCTTTGCAAGTCTATTCTCTCTCTCTGTAACAGTTTCTTGTTGTTTTGCCTGTTTTCTTTTCTCTCCTTGCTTTGCGAGTCTATTTTCCCTCTGTGAAACAGTTTCTTGTTTTCTTTCCTCTCTTTGTTTTGCAAGTCTATTCTCTTTCTCTGTAATAGACTCTTTTTGTTTTGCTTGTTGTCTTTTCTCTCTTTGCTTCTCTCTTAGCTTTGCAAGTCTGCTTTCTCTGTTTATAACCGACTCTTGTTGTTTTGTTTGTTGTTCATGGTTATTTGACGTTGTGTCGTCATTTGCTGTGTTATCCAAACTATTTGACAGTGAAATGTTTCTACGACATTTAACACCCTTCAATTCAAATAGACTATATTCACTATTTTGTCCAGGATAGTTACAACTGTTATGAAAAAATCTTGTAAGGTTTTGTATTCCTTCAATAGAAACTAAAACACTATAACCCATTGCCGCTGGCATTCCATGCATATCTCGTGAATGAGAATCAAAAACTTTAAATACATCTGGGAAAGGCATTAAAACTGCAACAGTGTTTGCTTGAATAGTAAGTAAGCATGCTTTATAATTACCCGCATCAAATACTTCATGAAAGGCATGTTCAAGTGTAACATACGGTTCATTGTTATATTCCATCCATAATGCTCCAGAAAAAGAGTCACTGTACTCCAAATTAAAAGTATCATTGTTGATAGACAATATTTCAGGAACATCAGTGAGCAACAAGAAATCTTTCTGAATGTGCTGACTAATTATGGCATAAAGATTGTTTGCATTAACTAGAAGCATGTTCATAAGTGGTGTATCCCAAATATTAACAGATTTTATTTCATTGTATACAATAGCATAAATTGACATGGCAACACATTGTTTTCCAGCATTTATTCCAAACATGGATATATTACCTTGGTTGAAATCTGCTCGAACCGTAAAACTATGATGAACAATATCATAGATATTAATTGGGCCTGGATTTTCCTCCACATCATTTGCAAGCCTCAATAGCAATGGTACATAAACATGATAAGATACCATTTGTGTATACCACATGCAAACTTCATTATTACTTTCAATCCTGGTAACTAGATTTTTCAAGCATGGTAAATAAAATATTTCTAAGTAGAACATTACTAACATATGGTTCCAAAATTTACCTTTCATTTGATTCATGCACTGTCGTGCTTGCACAAAGTTGTTATGCGAACCAATTCTTACTCTGTATATCTCAATTGACACACTCATATTTCGATATTCTCACTGTTTGGAATAAAATAGTTTCGTTACAGTAATTGTCAATAAGTAGTGTACTGTGTATTTTCAGTATTGTCTTTGACAGTTTGTATTTGTAATTCTTTTAAAATTGCACAATGGCAAAGTCTCAATAATCCCAGCACAATGGCAATGGGCTGGGTTTTTTACCTGCACAATGGCAAGGTTCAATTTGAGTGCGTGGCCTTTCACGCAAATAGCGCCTGATAAATAATCAGTGCGAGCACAATGGCTCCGTTTCAATTTGAGTATTTTGAGAGCGTGGCCTTTCACGCTAATAGCGCCCTGATAAATAATCAGTGCGAGCACAATGGCTCCGTTTCAGTTTGAGTATAAAATAGAGTATTTTGATAGCGTGGCCTTTCACGCTATATAATAACGCCTGATAAATAATCAGTGCGAGCACAAAGACTCCAAAATCACAACAGATAACACAATATAAGGTAAATTAAAAACAGCAAAGCTTACCTACCTTCTAAGGTCTTCTAAAAGCGCTCGATTATATAAAATATTCGGCCAAGAGTCGACGAAAATGTGCATGAAGTGTGGTTCACAATTCACATCACATCACATGATCAGTTGTTCACATGATTCAAAATTTATAATTATGCAGAGATAATTATGCTTATAAATGTTCGTCGGAAAAGCTCGGTATTTGTCGCATTTTACGAATTTGCCACGTGACCGGTACGCTCATCACCGCTCATCACCGCTCATGCACCGCGACACGAAATTTAGAGCTATATGAAAGTTGCATGCCATATATGGCATGCAACAAAAACGAGTAAAAATTAAAAAAAAAATCCGCCCGCTCGCCTCTGAAAATTTGTGAGAGTGTGACGCTAACCAAGTATTTTTTTTTATTTGGCCTAATTTTATTTATTTAAATCAATTAGTAGGTAAGACGTGATGTTCTCAATGCATGTTGATAAAAATTTAGTATATATTTCCCTCTTAAACGTTGCCAAAGCGGTAATGGCTACGGGTACGAAGACGAGAGATTGTCTCACTATTTTATATTCGATTTTAAGTCGCTGTTGTACGGATTTTTAGACTTTTTTGTGTTTTATTAAAAGTCAACAGTCATACATAAGACATACTATACTGCAAATCATTTGAAAATTGTAAAAAGTCGGTTTCTAGGAAGAAAATAGTCATCACAATTCACAATTAACTTCATATTCTGGCTGGCTTTAATATTTTCCCTTCAGATGGCACTTCAGCTTTGAACATGTAACACAGATTTGTTTGATTAACATCACTGATTTGGAAATACGACGAGCATCTGCCATAAATATGCTGACTTTTTGCTGTGAGAACATCACTTCTCAACCTATTAATTTCAATCAACTAATTGATTTAAATAAATAAAATTAGCGACCTCTACCGCTTTTGTGGGCGATTATCAACAACATTAATCTTCCTAACTGCTTCGTACTGCTGTTCTTTCAACTTTAATAATGTCTTTTCTCCCAATTTTCTCCAAAACGAAACCAACGCTTCATGGAGCGCTTGATTTTTATTCATATTTTATACAATAAACCATATATTTAGTTGTGACAAATCAGAAGCCAGTTTGATATGGATTTGGCCAGAGCCCCTCGTCGTGCTCGGTCGAACGCGCGTAAGAAGGGCTCTGGGTACGAGAATGCATTGTTCCTATATAAGCAGAGAAAACCCCGCAACATTTTACTATTGTTTACCATTTGAGTTGCTGTCATTGGTTCTTTTTTGACAATTGACGCGCGAATGGGGCGTCAGTTATGAAAACGGGCGTTTTACAAAACACCTGGTCTTCCTTGCAGGCCCGCTATTCTTCCCTCTGTGGGCCTGCACGCGGGCTAAATGGAAGCGACAAGCTAGGAGCGACTTCGATGTTTTGCCTTTTCTGTGAAAATGCAAGCGAAATAATGAATGTGACAACCTACAACTAGAAATAATTACAGTCTACATGTGCAAGATGTAGTATTATGCATGAAAATGAAACAAAGGTAACTGTCGATAAATTTATTGTATAGAACGTTCTTTAATTAACTGAACCATACAAATATATTTTTCGTAGTTTCATATGACCCACATTTTTCTCAATGACGTTTTTTGCGTAGCATGTATAATTTTTGCGTTGACTATATTTTAGGGTAATGATTTACTCTACATGCAATTTAATCATGTGCAAATGCTTAACTATTTTATAGTTTTCTTAACTTTTCTGTCTTAAGTTCGGTATTCGACAATAGTTTTCAAGAAATGTTCACACACCTCCCAGTCTAGGCTCAGATTCCAGCCGTTGGATTCCAGCCGTTTTGCGTAGCATGTATAATTTTTGCGTTGACTATATTTAGGGTAATGATTTACTCTACAATTTAAGCGTGTGCAAATGCTTTAATAACTATATTTGATAGTTAAGTTCGGTATTCGACTGGCAATCTTTCAAGAAATGTTCACACGCCTCCCAGTATTCTTTTTAGATTTTAAATGTTACAAAACTTTTTATTAATGTCTAAACTACCCGTCTAGTGTATCTTTTTGTTTGTTTCACTTACCTTAAATAATTAAATAGCCATGTTTCCGTTTGCAATTTGGCATTTAAATTCCCCCGCTATTTATTTTTTTCTAGTACACGCGCATGTGCAGACGTTTTTCCGCGGTGTCATACGCTATATAGACGAGTTTCACGATGGTGCCACGAAATCAACAATTTATAGTAGCTTATATTTAGTTTCGAACTGATTAGTATATCTCTGAAACATAAAATAGTAAAATATGCATGTTAAGGTGGCACGATACAGTTTTATAAAATTGGGAAATTTGCGATTTAGATATCCGGTATTATTGGGCAAATATTACTTGTTGAAACACAAAAAGCATACGGATCTAAATCGTGAATTTTCCTTTTTACAAAAAACTGTTTTGAGCCACCTTAAATTATTAAAATAACGTTATAATCATAGAATATAAATAAACTCAGAGTCAAGTTATAAATTTTCCCATATCACATATATGAAAAGCCTTATCTCACCTGACTGGGATTATAGTCTAGCTCCCTCGCAGACGTTCTTATAACTCTAACCCTCGATACCGAACGTCTACTGAAACGAGCTGCATATTCCTTTCCCTCCGATCGACCAATCACAGCGAACAATCTATATTTCTTCTATATTTCCATATTTATGTTTATATTTTATATTTTATATTTAAACGGTTAAATTTTGGTCAAAATTGCACATGAATTGAATTTAAAGACATTGATATTTGTCCATGAAATAAAATGCACTATTAATTATCAGATTTGGATATGAAAGATGTTTGGTTATATTTAAAACGCGGACAGCTACAATCTTGGACAAAACGCTTGAGACTATTCCAGCTAATATTACAAAGTAATTGAACATTGACAAAACAAAGTTTGTGTCCCCCTCCCCCCCCCCAGTTTAATGTTGTAAACAACGCCGAAACCACTTTTGGTAATATACCATGACACAAGCTCAACATTGAATTTGGGAAGCGGGAGCTTAAGGAGGGCAACATAATTTAACATGAAGTTTATTATCAAAATATGTGAATTCAGTTCTTTAGGGGGAAAGTAGTCTCAACCAATATGTCCAAGATTGTCTGAATGTGGGAATTTTACATGCCGGCCAATTGTTTGATAGTTATGGTTAAAAAGGCAGATATGTCGTTAGTGTTGCGATGGAGGAAAAATTATTAAATATATGTTACACTGCAAGTACTGTAGGTAACCGGAAATTTAATCCATATTACCAATCATTAATTCCAGGCAATGCAAAATTTATATTTATACTGTAAGTAAAGGAAAATTAATTAAGGAGGACAATATATGACATATATGCACGTCTGGATGAAAGTAAACTATTTATTGTACTAGCTTTTGGTTAACTTGATTTCCATCTTATTCCATATCATCATTAAATGCTTTGTATAATGAATGTACTGAAAAACATATCCAACACCAAACGTAGCCAAATTGGTCAAACGTGATGACACAGTTTGCCCAATTTATAGCTATTGCTATAGAACATAGCTACAAAGTTTTGGAAGAAATGGAATCATGGCGGACGTATTAAACGTTGTCTACACAGCAATTTTCATAGGCAATCGTCACTTTTCACATTTTATTATACAGGGTGTATCAAAAAAGACTGAACAGATATGAATTTGCTCTCAATTTCGCAAAACAGCTATTAGCATCCAGTTATTGATGTATATAGCTTCTATGGGTACTTATATAATGTAGAATCGAATAATGAAAAAAATTTGCCGAACTCAAATTTTGTGAACCAGGGGTGTGTTTCTTTTCCAACAAACTAAAAATGGCTTCCGCACAAAATCTAAAAGCTTTAATCATATTTTGAGTTAATAGATGGAAAATTTGTTGGGTTTTTAATTACTGTACAAAATTTCGGACAATTTGCTTTAGTTAATTCCTAAAAATCAGCTATTTGCATGCTTAATAATTAATTGCCTTTGCATTGCCTAATTTGTATATGTCAGCAATATGCAAATTAGGTAAAGGCATTAAGCATGCGAAAGGCTGATTTTTTAGGAAAATATGAACAGCAAAAAGGCTTAAACTAAAACAAATTGTCTGAAATTTTGTACAGTAATTAAAAACCCAACAAATTTTCCATCTATTAACTCAAAATGTGATTAAAGCTTTTAAATTTCGTGCGCAAGCCATTTTTAGTTTGTTGGAAAACACCCCCCCCCCCCGGTTCACAAAATTTGAGTTCGAGAATTGTTTTCAT